GAGTAGTGAGGTGGAATGGAGATGGGGGGAAGAGGTGGTGCTTAGCACCAAAAATCGAGAGTGTATTTCGTGTGTTAGGGCTACGTCATATCCCTAAGGAAAAAGGCAGTGATTGGGCTAAATTTAGTGTTGTCGTCAATTAATTCAATATCTAGGAGTGAGTTAAAATTGCTGGTGGTACAGGTTTTTGCTTCATCGTAGAAATTTTGGTTTAAATTTTTTATATAGACGTTGATGTCATCAATTTTAAGATCCCTTTTTATACTATTATTGCTAATGCATTTAGGGGCGCCGACGAGTCTTCTTATAATCTTCCCTTCTGCCATAGAGAGTTTATTTTTTAAGTGATCACTTAGAGTGTTAATGGCGGGGCAGGCATAAGTTAGAATTGGCCTAATTGCCATTAGATAGACAGTGCGCTTGCATTTTAAGTCTAAATGACATACCTGATAAAAGTGGTGAGTTATATAAGCCTACGAATTGTTTAAAAATAGTGGTAGATAACAATCTACTAAATTGAATTTATTAAACCAAGAATCACAATAATTAAGCAAATTTTGAATAAATTTTCTGCAATTCCATAAATGAATGTAAATTTTATAGTTTTATATCATGTTATACGCTGTCAGCCAGCTGTTTTTCGCGGCCTATCTGAAAGGTCAGAGTCAGCAAGCGGTGGCAGACGCGTCCTAAATGTAATTTCAGTGTCAGCCACCGGTGGCTGGAGCGGCCTAAATGAAAAGTCCAGTGTCAGTCACCGATGGCTGACGCGGTGCTTAACGTGTTAAGCGTAGTCGGTGAAGACGAATTTGATGAAATACATCTTTCTTCGTATTTTTGCTCCTTATCTTTAAATTTTTAAGGACCGCACGAAACCTGTATAATACTGTAAAATGCTCTCACTTAGAAACTGGTTATACGTTTACGTTGAAACTAAGTGAGCATAAAGATTAAAAAAAGTCACATTGTGGTGCAAAATTTCATATCCCTACAAAATATTTATTATAACTATTTTATGGTGAAGGTATTTTTCTTTTTGCTGAATAAAGTTAAATATGGAAATCCTGCTATTAACGAATTAGACAAATCTATCACCTGCTCACCAAGAATGACTGGGTAGTAACCTGTCAATATAAATCAGCTAATGACGCTCTCTGTAATAAATTTCTTTATTTAACAAATTTAAGCCCGAAATTTTAATAATAATGTGGTAAATACTATTATGAAAATTGTTAGAATATTCAAGTTGTGGTAAATACTATTATGAAAATTGTTAGAATGTAAGAAAACCTTTACACATACCAACTAACTTTTAATCCTTTCTAGGATAATTTTCCCCAATAGTAGTAAAAATGAACTTGAATTACAATTTTAGGCTGACACATACGCTATATTTGCAGTGATGCCAATTTTCAAAACTTTTTGTAAAAATTTATTCTAACGGTGGTTTTTTCTAGTAGTAGTATGTTTTGATGCATTATTTTTTACTCATTTAATACGTTTAGCGCCGCGTCAATCATCGGTGGCGGACACTGAACTTTCCATTTAGGCCGCGTCAGCCACCGGTGGCTGACACTGAAATTACTTTTAATCCGCGTCAACCACCAGTGACTGACACTGAAATTACATTTAGGCCGCGTCAACCACCGGTGGCTGACCCTGAAACTGCATTTAGGCTTCGTCTACCACAACTTGCTGACACTGATCTTTCACATAGGCTGCGAAAAACAGCTGACTGACAGCGTATAACATGATATAGAACTATAAAATTTACACTCTTTTATGGAATTGCAGAAAATTTACTTAATTATTGTGATTCTTGGTTTAATAAATTCAATTTAGTAGATTTTTATTCACCACTATTTTTAAACAATTCGTAGGCTTATATAATTCACCACTTTTGTCAGGTAAGTCATAATAAACCCCCTAGAAAATAGCAAAATTCGTCTAATATTTGCAAATTTAGTTTACAGTTATTTAGAATGGCGTGGCGTTGAGCGTGATAAGCCTATTTTCCTCATCGATAAAAATAAGTGATTTAAAACCTCATATGAAACGCCGTTTTATTCCAGCTCTTTCATTGTAAGTTTTTTAAAATATTGGCAAAATTACCGAAAATTCTGAAAGCTTTGGTTTTTAAATGTCTACTATTCTATAAAATATTAAAAAAAAAAAAAAAAAGAGCAATAGCTTGCAGGTCTGATTACTTATACATAATGACCTCCCCTATTTAAGACCACTTTTGGAGGGCATGGAATTTTTTTCAGTAGATATTGTGTTGAAGAAAACCTTTAGGAGAGACCATCAAAATCTCTCCCAACGACCGGGCAAACCTCTGCGCTAAATGCGGAAACGGTCTAATATGGATAGATGAAAAAATATTAACAAAAGTAGGTTAAAATGTGTATTCAAAATATTTGTGTGAGAGCTCTTTGTGACGAACTCTGAAATAGATTTACTACCTCATTTTGCAGTTTGAGAGCTGAAGACAATGCCATTAATGATTTATTTTTAGAACTGAAAGTTAAATTAAAAAAAGATATATTAGAAAAAACAAAGCATCTTAAACAAAGCTCTTCGCATTTTTTTTAAAGCTAAACTAATTTTTATGATAAAAACTTGAACGCAAACTTAAACAAGAAGCATAATTGTTCATTTGTTTAAAATAGTTCTATCATTCATAATTTTTAAATTTGTTTTTACTCATAATTATATTAGTAGGGGTCATTCTTATCGACGCTAAATTTTATTTATCTATCCGGTTTTCATGACGCCAACACAAGTGGCATTTCTGCACCAAGGAAATGACAGTGGCTTAAGTTAAAATCGTTCGAAAAAAAAAATCATGCACCTTCGATAACATTTTGATATTTATGGAGGTAACCCCTAAGAACGATAATTTTATTGTGAAACAGAGAGTGGTCTCTCCCGGGAGGTTTCAGTGTATAGTACGGTGACTAAACACGTTACGTATACAAACTAATAAAAAGTTTATACGAAACAAAACTTCGTTATTATCTCGTGGTTAGCCTTCTATAGTAAAAGCAAAATCGAGAAAATTGTTGTAAGTTTTAAACCCTTAACCCTTTCTCGCCGACTGTCACAAATACGTGCCAGCATAAAACCGTATCAATCAGGGTAAAAAGATAAAACTGGTAATCAAAGTATTTATTTAGCACTTTATTTGTGGGCGGAGTTATAATTGTTTGATTTATTTAATTCACCATTACTTTGTTCAAAATAAAACTATTTAGTTATACGTTGAATTAACACTGATTATATGTATGGTTAAACTAACAATAATTAAAGTAAAAGCAAAGTAAGTCGATCAAATTAGCTACGACTACATTTAAGTTACCGTTTTTTATTTAATTACAACTTGATTCTGATTTTGTAAGAATGCTTTTCTGAATCACCCGTCCCCAAGGGGTTAATCGTTACCACTTTATAAGATCTTTTACTGGAAAAGCAGCAGTTGGAAACCCTGGGTATGCTTCACCAAGATAAAAAGTAGTCATGAAATAATTAAGGTACCAGTTTTTAGTTTTGTAAATAAAAGATCTTATTCTTTTTCCGGCATTATAATTGTATTCTTACCATTGACGTTCTTGAGACGTTTTTCAACTTCAAGCCTTTCACAGAGCAAGTGAGCTCTTCCCGTTCCGTATTTAAATATTTTTATTACTTTATTATTCTACCTTAATGCAAAATTTTAGGATGAAAGGGCCGTTTATGGCCTCAGGTAATAAATTTATGTTTATATTTACATACCCGCCAACATTCACTCTTTTCGAGAATGGATTTTCCAAGTGGTAGTTAAAACAATTACCGAAAAACAGTTTTACTCAAAAATATATATGAATTTTAACCAGGTTGAAATTTGCTGTCTTAAAGATTAATATGCTTTTTATATATTTGTTGAAATTATTTATATGTAGTGGTGGTCAAACTCAATTATAACTATTATTATAAATCAAAAAGTTAAGTGAAATATCATGAATTTCGCTAGCACTTTAAATATGAAAATAAAATCTTCCGGGAAAACCGGAAGAGTTGGCAGATATGTATTTATGTCTTAGAAGCAGCCGTGTTAACTTTTATTTTTATCTTTAAAGGCATATTGCTAACAAGGTAAAAATCCTAGAAAGCTCTTTTAATAATGTAACTAAATATATATAAAAAATTAATTCCATGAATTAAATGTTTGTTAGAGCAAGACCGTCACACCTATTGGATCCATTGCGCAAGAAAAAAACGCTGGAAAATACATTTTCAGGACTGCCAACTTCCTCACATTTTAGGAAATTTTTTTCTAGTGGCAACTAAGTTTATGTTATAATGTATTATTCTTCATTTTGTAAGTTTGAGTTCAAGTTATTTTCAACACCACAACATGCAAATGATTCAAAAGTTTATATGAAATGCTGGTTACTTCCGGCTCTCGCATGGTGTAACAGCCAATGTAATTTTGATTGCCACTAAATGCAAGTGAATCAATCCTAGATATAAGAATCAGTAATAAAAACTAAAATGAGTGTAAACCATAGAACTTGTAAGAAGTCAATTTTATCTACAAATGCATTTCAAATAGTTTCTTACTACCACTTGGGAAATACTTCCTCAGAAAGAGTGAAAGTTTTTAGGTTTCTCGCTTGGTGAGGTTTTTAAAATGTTGGCCAAAATTAACTAAAATTTTAAACACTTATGTTTTTAATTGTCTACTATTCTATAAAATATTTTCCAAAAAGCATAGTAGTTTGCAGCCCTACAATTTTTCTGCATTTTTATCTGAACAAAAAAAAAGAAAAAAAAACAACAACTTCGCATTACCACTGCTTACTTATTTTTGTTTTTCCTTTTAGTGTTCGATTCATCTGGAAAAATAGCAAATGGGGTGATTGGTGGAAATCCCACGGCGTTTGGTGATTTCGAGACTTGTCTTGAAATAGAATCTCCCAGCGGAAAATTTAAAGGACAGTATTGCGATATTGATTTTGTTCCATTATTGCCGGAAAGAGAAATGATGTCACCAGCAGAAAAGCCAATAAAAATCATTGATACACTATTTGAGCCTGGCACAGTAAATAGCCTATCTTTAAACGAGTCTTTGTATAACGTAACATATGATTGGTTAATCCCGATATCTTTTAATACATGTACAGTCCGCAAAAAAAAAAAAAAAAAAAAAAAAAAAAAAAAAAAAAAAAAAAAAAAAAAAAAAAAAAAAAAAAAAAAAAAAAAAAAAAAAAAAAAAAA